GTCAAAAATGAGAATTCAAAAATGTTTGGGTAAAAAAAGAACTCAAAGAGAAAAACTCAAAAAAAAAAATGTGGGGTCATTTGACCCCATGTGGGTCCGCCGGTGCAAGGAGATAGGATTTTAACACTAAATTCCAAAATGATGACGGATTACCGACAAGTTATTAAAATAATATCAATTTTGTATTCCAATTTATTGATAGATTACCTGACACATTACAAAACGACATGCAAAACATCTCTTTTGTGTTTGCTTTTATCCTTGTTTGCTACCGAATGGCACCTTATTAATCGCCCAATATTGATTACTTGATGTCGAAGTTCAACCATAAGAAGACGTAGTTCATGTGTTGTACTTTAAAGGTTTCTTTGGCATCCTTCTAAATCTTTTTTAACTTTCTAATATGCTTTCTTTCTGGAGATTGTTACAGTATTCCTGCATACAGCTCTACTATCCTGTTTTATTAATTGATTTCATCATTTCATTTATCCAATATCGGGTTTCATAAAAATATTTTAATGTGGTGACAAGAATCTTGACGCCTCATGTTTTACCATGCAGGTTGCGGGGGAACTGGGAATACTATTTGTTCGGGATGTGGGGGTCGAGGTCACCTTGGTCTTGCTTGATAAAAAGGTTTGCTTTCCTTCTGAAGATTGTAATGCTGCTTACGCATTCTCGTATACAGTCCCAATATCCGGTTTTATTAATATATTTTACTTATATCCAAAATAAAATCGATATGGGCATTTCATAAAAGATTTTAATAGGTGCAAAGAGTCTGGATGGCTCGTGTTTTACCATGCAGGTTGTGTGGGAAGTGGGAATACTATGTGTTCGGGATGTGGGTTGAGGTCACATTGGTCTTGTTTGATAGAATGGTTTGCTTTTCATTTAATTAATAGCCTATAAGGGAAGACAACACCTAGAGTGAAAAATGCATATCAAATTACATTTGTTCAAGATATATAGGTTTACTCTTGTAATTTTTGTTGTGTCATGTAATTGAATTGAAGCAGAACTTGCTGTAAAGTGCCTCATTAATTTTGTTTTATTGCATAATTTTTTTCTTGAAATATGCTCCCTGCTTGACACTAGCTAGTTCATTGATAGTGAATTCGATTATTTTACTCTCTTAATTGGTTCATCGACCAAACACAAATCTATACGAGTATGTTTCTGTATTAAATTTAACGGCAAAATAAATACAATACTACACTCTAAACGTAAATTAAGTTTCTCATAACTTAGTCGAAAAGATATATGTTTAGTCTAGCGTATTAAATTATGTAAAAAAAAATAAATCTATGGCCCTGTTTGAGCAATCTTTTTGTAGAATGAGAATGAAAAATATAGTCGTTATTGGGGCTCACACGAGATAGAAAATTTGAATTTAAATATTGATATGATGGATAATGGTCATATTT